ATATATACTACTACTACAACAACAATTCTCACTTATCGTGGATCTTTAGGGTACGGACGGATCCCTCGCGATAAACGAGGGATTACTGTAATACCTTGGTTTTGCAGATTTGTCAGGGGTCCTTAAAATTAATCCAAAACATTAAAATGTATATAAAAAATGTTTTTTTGTAAAAGCAATTGGACTTTTATTGTATAGTTGAGATCCTAATGCATGTTCAAAAATCCAGGTAGATAATCTGAGTCAGTTCTTCTGGATGGATTCTTCTTTGTTGAAACGTTTCATCTTTTATCCAAAACACTTCTTCCTGACTCAGCCTTGTTAGATATAGTTGAAGATGTTTTGCATCCCATCCGGGCAGTTTTTTCTATTCAAAACTGGAGAGTAGCATTCAAATCTCCAAACTGTATGAGATGCTCTGTTTAAGCATCTGAACTCACTTCTTAAAATGCTAAATTGTCTTTTTTTTTTTTTAAAGTTTCAAGTAAAATTCTTCATCTTTACTTTATTAAAGAATTGCTCCAGTCACCAAAAGTACTTCTGAAATGCTTATAATATAATAATAAAAAATATATATTTTTCTAGGATCTGAAAATATTCTTATGTTAGAAACATCTCACCAACATTACAGCACTTGGTGGCAATATTTGGGTTTAGATTTTCAAGGTTCCAGCAGCTGTTGTTTTAATCCATAATTTTAGATCAAACTTTTACCAACAATGTTGTGCTTGTGCTTGGCAAAGGTAAGGCAACACGGCAACTGACAGGCTCTTAGATGTGCTATATACCACGATGATCAAACATTTAAAGTATTTTGTTTCAGTGATGAAAAGAATAGAAACAGCCTTTATTGTCCCGTGGATGGGAAATTCAAGTGTAACAGCAGCAACAGATAAAAAGATAAAAAGATTTCACACAAAAGTTCCTAAATGTTAATTAACAATACAATATATAAGAAATAAGATAAATTAATTAAATTTAATTGAATAAAATTGAATAAAATCTTGAAACAAGTCACAGCAAATCTGTCAAATCCCAGCTGAACTTTGATGACTTGATTATTATTATTATTGTTATTATTATTGTTATTATTATTGTTATTTTTTTGCAGCAACTAGAAGTCATACTTGCAGAGGGTTTATGGGGAACTCCTCTGATTAAAATACAAAAAGTTCATGATAACATCTGATGTGCTCTTGGAAACGTCCTTCTAAATTTTTTACATCAATGCAATTTGTCGATTTAGTTGTCTGGACTGGATTTTCTGGGCGTTACTGCTGTGCGCGTGCACGTGCATTCATGTGTGTTTTAATCTTGTTGAATTTTCCTTTCTGCAGGGATCACCAGTCTGTTAGCCAATGATGTCTACACAGCTGCTTTTCCTCTGCATGACGTGAGTGCAGTCACTTTTTTATTTCTCAGAACATCAGGAAATCTTCCAATTTATCTGTATATACTGGTATATACAGGTATTCTTGTATTATTTCGACTTTATTCTCGTAATATTATGACTTTATTGTCATGTGACTTTATTCTCGTTCGTAATGTAATTCTTTTTTTTTTATTAGCGTGGCCCTAAAGCTCTGTCGTGTGGAGGAGCTTGAATTCATTTTGGTTAAAAAATTATTTTCTTTCTTTTAAAGCAGCTGACAAATCAGCGTTTTAGTAAAAGGCTTTAAGATGGCCCTATTTGTTTTATTTAAATTCACTCATCCTTTCTTTTTTAAAACAAGATGATGCATACAGGCCTGCTTTATAAACCTATCCTAATTTATAAATATGACCTCCCTCCCCAATAATCCCCATTTTCACTCACGTTCACTTTTTTTCCACTTTCAACATGAAACGATTAAAAGTTTTCAACATGAAACAATAAAAAATTTTCAACATGAAATATTCACAATCATGTCAAATGTATTAAACATGTTGGCATAACACAATTAATTTATTAAACCAACACATGATCTAATTGTGTGGAACAAATGTACATGTTTCGTTTATATAAATCCAACAGGCTTTTTCTTTCAGTGCAATAATCCACATTTTTACTCAAATAAAAAGAACATATTGCATAATCATAAAGCTCGTTTGTTCCTGATGTCCAGTTCTGACAAATTGGATATTAATGTCAACAATAAGCGACACTCGTACAGTTTTAAAAAGTCATGACCTTTGCAGAAACTGATTAACTGAGAGAAGTGCATGAAAATGGAAGCCCAACGTGTTCTTGTGTTACAGGGAGACGTTGACGGGGTAAACGCAGAGCCCAACGACAGAAAGGTAAGTGAACAGGTCCACGGGGTCGAGCGCAGAAAGGGATGGTAATGGTTTGAGAAATGTCTGATATAAATCTATAAAATGAAACTACCAGTTAATGATCCATAGTTTGTTTTTCATCTGGAGCTGACCACAGCAACACATTAATGAGATGTTGGCTCATCATAACCTTTGTCTGTGGAAACACGTTAAATTAAATGCCTGGCATTCCTCGGAGGATTGAATATGGCCTGCCATCTTTCATGCTAAGCTGGTGAAATAATTGTGTTAAAACCAGTTTGGTCAAAATTTAAACAGAACATTATGCACCATCTCAGGCAATACCATGAGATTTTACATGTAGCACTTGGTTTGTGTTGTGAGGGACTCTCAGTTACTGCCACTGGAAATTTAACAGTTATCTGCTAAATTTACTGTTACATTCATTTTTGTGTTGGCTAAAATTCATTAAAATCTTCCCAGTGGTTCATGAGATATTTTGCTAATAGACGAACCTATGTCCACACACATACGCAGACACAAACTAAATAAAATTAAACTCCAATAAACACAATGTTACAGAAGGGGAACTAAAACCAGACTAATCATCTCACTGACCTGTGATGGTTTTTATGTTTCGGAGCCTCCAGCTGTAAAAGATTAAGATTAAGATTAACAGCTCAACTGGAATGATGCTCATTAAGCAGAGTCATTAAGTGCTCCTCTGTTCTGTCTGGAACCAGAGAAAAGCTCTGCATGAGCATCTCTTATCATATCCATGTTTGATGGAGCAGTGTTTTGTAAGAGGAGGAAACAAGAGATCTTCATTCTTTCCCCTCTGCCGTCTGAACGCTCTGCTGCTCGGTGAAGAAACACCTTGTTTTGTCGCTCCGCAGCTCGTTTCTCTGCTCGTGAATGGAGTGTGTGATTACGTGTGAAAATGTTCCTCCGACTCAGCTGAGGGATGAATGTGATCTTCTCATTCTAGTTGTAGGATGGATCAGAACATCTACTCAGAGCCCTAACGCAGTCAGCTGCTCGTTGGCGTTCAGCTCTGATTTGCATAGAAATCTGTTTTTATTACGAGGTGCTTGGATCACAGTGGAGGTGTGATGCGTGCTGCTCTGTTTTTCATCATCAAGCTAAATTATGATACATTCACGGTACAGTGGATCATCTGGCTCCATCTCACCATATCCCAGCATCCTCCTCTGTCACACCAACCCGCTGCATGTCCTCCTCCACTCTTCTGTGGACTTCCTTTTTATCTCCCTGCAGCTCCATAGAACATCATCACCCTCGAACTTTGTCTCCAGATATGAGCTGTCCCTTCATTCAGCTCATTTCTCATTCTGTTCACTTCAGTCCATCCCACTGAACATCAAATCTTCTCAACCTCCTGTCTTTTTGTTAGGGCCACCATCTTGCTCCCAGTTTGTACATAAAATATATTGCCTCTTCCAAGATTTAAATGATTGCAAGCACAAACTAGTTAATTGGTGAAATGTTTCCCATCACATATTCAAATAAGGCTAGTAAATAATTGTTTCTGTGCAGGGAGTTTAGCATTGTTGGCTGTTTTTTATTGTTTCTTTTTGTATTTCTTTCTAAGTTTATTGAAAGGTGAATGTTTTGCATGTTTTAATGCGAGTGTGACTGTTAGCAAAATATGTCATAAAATTATTGATGAAATTTAATGAAACTCTGAAGATAGTCAGGATGTGGATGTACGTTTACATCTTAGCACTACTCTGAGTTAAGATGGCCACCACAGCTGGTCAGCCTTGGTGAACACACTGTTCTAACTCAGTTTTACAGATGTTGAGCTAAAATCTGAGAGTGCTGACAGATTGAATGCGGTTTTGTGATATTGCATCAGATGTTGTTTTCAGTATTTTACCAAACGGACTAAAACTACATAATTTCTTAAAACATGATGATTAGTTTAAAAGTCTGGAGCGAGTCATTCCTTCAGGGAATGCTTGGCCTTTCATTTGTTCTGAATACATCTTATGCTTAGGTGACATTAAAGAAGAGACGTTTCTTCAGTTTTGTACTTGAAACAAACCATTGAGTCCAAATTAACGATAAATCATGTTAAATGATACAAACATTACCTGAATCATTGTGTAACCAGTTTTTTACATGTATGTATTTACTTGCATCAACAATTTTACTTTTGTTTTACAATTAAGAGTACCAAAACTTTGATTTGTTCCACTTTTAGATTTACATACATTTATAATTTTGTTCTGTAGCAGGAGGAACTGAATAAACGTATTTGACATATTATAGATCAAATTAACTGTGGACATGATCAAATGAAGTATTGATTACTGCTTGGTCCAGCCCTGTACTTCTGTATGTATGAGCTTTAGTACTTGTTGACTCTGGGTTCTCCTCACAGCTGCTGTCTGAACAGTGGGCCAGCTACAGCGTCTTCTACAAGTACCAACCTATTGGACTCATCAGGTCTGTAGGTCTCTGTCAAACCCAACACCAAAACATGTCCAGGTTGAAGATAAATAATAATTATCAACTGGTCCAAATCTGCCCATTTTCATTTCTAAAGTGTTGTCCATCAAATTTATTCATCAGACTGACCAAAGTCAGGAATATTCAGCTGTCAAGGGGTTAAACTGGAATGGACATAAATATGTTTATTTATTTATTTATTTTACCAATTTGGCCTAATCACATGCTTTCTCTTTTAAAGGATAAATTCATTGATTATGTGTTGATCACAGATACTTTTCTACAGGAAGTACTTTGGGGAGAAGGTTGGCCTTTACTTTGCCTGGATAGGAGTCTACACGCAGATGCTCATCCCTGCTGCCATTGTTGGAGTCATTGTGTTCCTGTACGGCTGCGCCACGGTCGACGATAACATACCAAGGTACGCAGCTCACACACGGAGTGGGGTAATTTATTACTTCCTGCTGAGTTTTACAGCCCTTTGGTTGTTGCTCATGTTAGGAGTGGTGGCGTAGAGGTTAGAGAAGGTGGGCCTGTGATCGGAAGGTCGTCAGTTTGAATCCCCAGACCAACAACATCAAAATGTGGGTGGGAAAGGTGAAACACCCACACCAGCCTCCGTCCTCGTTTGCTCCACTCTGGGCCCTTGAGCAAGGTCCTTAACCCCCACTGTCTGCTCCTCCGGGTGCCTACAACAGCTCTCCGCGCCACACTCAGGGCTATGGTAGCTCGGTGGTCTGTGGTTGTGTCAGGAAGGACATCTAGCTTAAAAATAATTGCCAAGTCTTAGTGTGACTTAGTTCACTGTGGCGACCCCTGAAGAAGGGAGCAGCCTAAAGAAGAAGGAAGAGAGAAGAAAAAAAAGGCACAATTAAAAATGTTTTTTGGTCATGGTGGTGGATTGGTTGGAATGGAAGAAATGGAATTTGTGGTTAGGTATGTCTTATACCTTTAGGTTGGCAGCAGGAATATCTGTAACTGATTGATTGATTTGATTGTAGTGACATATGAACACATCCAAAACGGATACAGCTTATTGTTTATTTTAGTGTTTATAGATATATGAAGGCCATATAAACTCTTCCCACACTCTTGCAATATTCTAAGTGTTTCTAAACTCTAAATGCTCTAAAAGAACACGGCATGTCGTGATTTCAGCTCTCTGCCTCCTGCTGCACTTTTCCAGCTGCCAGCGCTTTTGGCCACACCCACTTTTCTGGTTCAGAACAGAGATATGACACGTTGCAGAAGGAAACTTCTACTGCAGCTGTGGGCTGCACACAGGTGCAGCAGGTGCTAAATAATTTAAAATAAAAATTCCATGCCAATCGTGCGGCTCATCCACCAATCAGCCAATTGTGTGTCGTGTCTGATCTTATCTTGAAAAACCGTGGTAAACGAAAAGTGAAATAGTGAGGGACTACTGTACTTCTATTTTTCTGTTTGTAGCATTTTTCTTTTTACTGAAATGTATGAACGTGTGCCAATCAGTCTGCAAAAAGTTTTGACTTTTTACATGCAGTTTCCCAAAATCCTTTTCTTGAATGTCTGGTTTAACTCTTGTCTTTCCTCCCTAAAAAAAATAAATAAATTGCTATCCAACTAGTACCCATTTTATCTAAACCCCTGCATCCTGTGCTAGCATGCTAAATGCTATTTTATTTTTCAGCATTTTGTCTTGATTTACATAGAAAAAGATCTGAATCATTACTTCATTTTTAGATGTTAAGTGTTGATACAGTCATAATGTTTTATTGAGGGGTATCAGTTTTGGTAAATCCTTGGTGTAGACCACACACCCTCAGAACCGCCTGTTTACACACACAGGTGTGTGAACATGTCTAAAAGGCATTAACTTGTATTGAGAGTCTGTTCTGGTTGAGCTGTGAGATGACACAGAATCAAACATCAAAACGTTTTATTTCTGTGTCAGGAGGCGTTTTCTTTAATTTTCACACAGAATGAAAAATCATGGTTTCATCTTATTGTCTGTACAGGTCATTGCATCGGCATTATGTAATTCAAAGAGTAAAAGCCTTTGACTTTTTTTACTGGTTATAAATGGGAATTGCATTAAAAAGAACACAGGCTTATCTCGACAGAACTGAATCTTATCATTTATTCTCGTCTCGGTATTTTCTGTTTGACAACTCATTAAATCCATCTCCTTCATCCATTTGTTTGGAAGCATGGAGATTTGTGATCCCAGGAACAACATCACCATGTGTCCGCTCTGCGACCACGCCTGCAGCTACTGGAAGCTTGTGACGGCATGTGGCACAGCCCGAGCCAGCCACCTGTTCGACAACCCAGCCACGGTCTTTTTCTCCATTTTCATGGCCCTCTGGGGTAAGAACGCAGTCACATCCCTGATCAAATACTGTTTAGCTGAATCACCTGCAGACCAGGTATTACCACCAATACCAGTTGAAATATTTGCCCAATACAAGGTGTGCAGCTAAGTGGTCCTCTGTTTTAGGTAATAAATTATATTTTAACCTTTGTCGAGCTCCGACACCAAATCTGCAACACAACTCCACGAGGCTAACACACAGAGAGCCCTCTTCTGATGTCCTGCCAGTCTTCGCAGCCATCTGTCAGCAGCAGGGCATCAGACTGCAGAAGTGTTGTGTTCAGATGAAGCTGGCATCTGACGGAGTCACTGCATGACAGCCATCTGGATTCACCTGCTGCTGACCCGAGGAGGCCACAATACCACAAAAACAGCCTCGTTTGAAATGTTTTAAATGAAGGAAACGACATCACAGCAACGATAAAATGCTTGTGACCAAAAATACGTAAGAGAACACTCACGTTCATGTTGCTGGGATTTCTCAGATGGACCAGTTTACATATTCAGACCAAATATTGAAGCCGACTCATAGCAAAGTCATAAATTCAGCTTTTTTTTTTTGTCTGACCAAAATGATCAAAGCTTTACTGATCATTTTGGTGTTGTTAGAGGTTCTCTATGGTGGGAGGTGTGGAGGGTTGATGCCATGTGGATCCAGCGGAACGTGATGATCGTACAGGAGACTGTCCACTGAGCCCACTATTAGTCTGACATGAAAATTATATTTATTTTAATCTAGATTAGTTTAACATGTTTAAATGAATTTTATAAGTCTGTTTAGTCATACTGATGCAATGATATATTTTATAAGCATAATGTTAATATGTACTAGTTTTGTTTGACCTTCTCTGACACTTTTTGTGGCTACGCTGTTGTGCCAACAGAACAGGCACATTTGGTAAAAGATGCTCACAGACAGACTCGATCCAAAAGGTTCAAAGTTTTGTGATTACAAAGGAATACAGTAGTCCCTTGTTTATCACGGGGGATCTGTACCCTGAAACCCTGCGATAAGTGAAAAACCGCGAAGTAGAAATAGAAGTACAAGAAGTAAGTAGTAGTTTATTTTATTATTTAGATAGATGTATAGTAAGGTGTTTTAAATCCTTTCCACACACTTTCAATATTTGAAACAATGTTTCTAAATTCTAAACGCTCTAAAAGAGCACAGCATGTCATGATATCTGCTCTCTGCCACCTGCCGCTCTTGGCCACGCCCACTTTTCCGCTGCAGAGCAGAGATGGGACACGCTGCAGGAAGGAGCTTCTCCTGCAGCTGTGGGCTGCACACAGGTGCAGCAGGAGATAGATAAATTTAAATTTATTTTAAATAACAAATCCATGCCGATCGTGCGACTCATCCATCAATCAGCCAATTGTGTGTCATGTCCAATCTTATTTTGAAAAACCGCGATAGAGCGAGTCTTTGAAAAACGAACCGTGAAGAAATGAGGGACTTCTGTAGAATTAAAATATTCACTTGGTGACAGCAGGCTGAGCTTGTAATCAGTTTCCTGTTTGTTGTCATTTCGTTTTCAGCCGTTCTTTTCATGGAGCACTGGAAGAGGCGGCAGATGCGGCTCAACTATGTCTGGGACCTAACGGGCTTTGGAGAGGAGGAGGAGGTGGGACAACTCTACACATACCATTTGTGTGCCATTTTTAGTAAAAACATTAATTTAAAAAATGTCTGAGTACTCGACCTGCTTGAAACATAAATGTACTTTTTAATACTTGTTTATTGTTTGAAAATCTCACATTAGAGTTGCCTTGAGAGACACCTACAAAATTGGAGTTTTAGAGTGACTCATAAAGATTCTCAAGATATTAAGCCAATTTGTACAGATTGATATGAACCAAAATGACTATTAACAAACAAAAAGAGCCTCGTTTTGTTATCACTATAAATTTTGCACAATGAACAATCTGCATTATTAACCCGTTTTTGAATAAACGCAACTTTGAAATGCTCTTCTTGATGTCACACTCCAGCCCTCGGCTGACTGAACAGCATGGCAACACAAGCATGAAATCTAATGATGACTTAACTGATCATTCAAAGTCTCTGAAAGTTCATCTCCAGCACCCTGGAAAAGTAGGATGACAAATTTCAGCCTGGAGGATGAAAACTAAAAGACAAAATCAGTTAAGATTGTTAACAAAAGCTAAATGCGACTAAAAAAATGTTAATATAAACAAAAGAAGAGAAAAGAAAAAAATTAAATGTTTTCTTTTGGAAAAAACAAAAATCATCGTCTTTGTTGTCAGCTGACAGTCAGGTCAGCGTTGAGTGCTGGCACATTCGTATGAGCAGAAACTTGTGCCATCAGAAACTGAATTTGAGTTGCTCAGACTGAATCTGTATTTGCGTAATTCGAAATTAAATCCATTGGTTTGAAAATGAATTTCACTAAATTGAAACTGAATTATTTTGCGTTGAAACTGTATTTCTTGTACATGTATTGAAAATTCAGTTTGACTGCTTTCATTTTCAGTTCTATAATTCAATTTAAATTCCAAAATTCAGTTTTTCGTGTCACACATCCGGGTCCTTGAGAAAGCCACGGAGTAATCGAACGCAGATTGACAGATTTACGTCAGTGAAACTTCCTTTATGAAAATGTAGACATAGGGTTCAGTCTAAAGGAGGTGGTGATGAAACAGAATCCACCATAAAACACCAAAGAAGAAGAACTTCCTTTAAGGCGTATTTTGAGCTGGAGCAGTGGTGCGCACATGAACTTGGTATGAACTCG